CCTTCAGATCTCATCAGATCCTTTAGCTATCCTCAGAACATCATCGCAAGTATGTATTCTAGCTGTCTATACACTTTTTATCCCAAAATATAGATGTGTATATGTTCCGGGCCTTCGGTCCGGGATCACATGGTGTGATTCGTGAGGATGGAGTAACTATATTTTTGTATAAAAAGTGTACAGGCAGCTAGAATATATACATGCAATGATATTCTGAGGATAGCTAAAGGATCTAACAAGAACTGAAGGAGGAAGAGGCTGCGGAAGATTCGCTCGGAAGATTGAGCGAAAAGGTTGACGCGCGCGAAAAAATCTGGCCGCGCCTTATGTACTCTAAATAGCTGTAATATCTTCTCCGTCTATCAATTGCTCGTTGACATATAATTCATCCTGGCGCTTAATCCCGTTAAAAATTGAACGCTGATACGCATCTTCGTCATATGCGCAATGGGCATGCCTTACTTACTTGACCACCTTGGATAGGGAATATTTTGAATTTTCCGGGAGTATTTCAGGGTCAAGACTCGGAATGACAGGAAACAAATTTAACGAACAATTTATACCGTCGTCCCTATGAGAATGGGGATTTTCATTTTATCTATGCTGGCGTTCTTCTAGGTCAGGGATATTCAGTTGCCACCAGAACATCTACGACTGGTCTACGTCGTTCAATCTACTATTGCCTTGATCAAAGCCAATCTAACTATCTATTAAAGCGGTCGACAGATCCATTCCGCTCTTTAAGCATAAAAAGTAAAATATAGCGCTTAATCATACCTATCTAATTAATATGATGCAAGACGTTAGAATAACAACACGAATACTCAACGTACTCAACATAGGTGTCCAACGTTAGCGATCAATCAACAAATACGTTTTCATGTCAAATTCTGTCGTGCCTGTTCTTCCAGGTCAAGCCACCAGGATGCCTGCGCTTTTGCATCAAAGCAATTTTTATTATGTTATCCCAATGTTATCCCATCCTTTCGTACTCGCAAAGCTTCTTTAAGCAGCTTTCACTATATATATTATCTACACGTTACATTTGATTTTCGTGCAAGTAAAACGGGACTCCCAGCAGATCCCTTCTGTAGTATCCCTAATCAAATGTGACAGTCCCAGTAGGAATATCACCCTTGACGACTTGCCACGATTCTCGAGAAACAACATCTTTCCACCAACTATATCATTATGACCAACCTCATCAGCAAGCTAAATCACCGCAAGATAAAAAAAACACACCGAGCAACATTCGGGCCTTTGCTAGTCATAATATCACTCCCTCCTTGAACAAGCATACTTCCGAACGGAAGGTGGAATAGATCTACCATTGTGATTTCCTAAAAAGAAAGAAATCAACGTTCTGATTTGCCCACCCTTTAGATGAATACAAAAAGCCACATACATTTCCAGCCAAATATTTCTGCTTGGCCAAAACCCTCTCATACCCATCAAGCTTATCAGAAAGAGTTTTGATAGCTTCTTCATATTTCACCTCGTCTTTTGGCTGTTTCAAAAAGCTACCAAGCAGCTCATTAACCATCATAGATCCTCGAAAATCCAAACAACTCACAAAGGCTTGAAAAGACCCTCAAAAAACGCTTTCCCAGCATACGGATCAAAATTCGATATCTCAATCGAAGCAGCTTGCTCGAACAACGCTGTTGCTTTTATACTATCCTCCCCCTCCCCCTCCCCAAAGGAAGGCGCGAGCTTTGGACCTTGATTTGGGTATTTAGCTTCGAGATAACGACAGATGGCACGGGATTCGTAGAGGATGAAGCCGTCGTCGTCCTAAATGAAAGCTGTTTAATAATAATAGCATTAAATTTGAACGAAAAGGGAACTTGCAATGTATGGAACTTGGCCAAAAGGCTGCTTGTCGAGGTAAGCAGCGCTTTTATGTTCTTGGTTGGTCATGTCGACGTTGATAAACTCGTGTGGGATCTTTTTTTCGTAGAGCACTACCGCGACGCGTTTGGCGGAGTTGGACATGGGTATGGCGTAGATTTTGAGGACCATGGTGGAAAGTAAGTAGAGAAGGAGGTGGTGGTGGAAGAAGAAAGATCGATGATCGATGATATGAATCGTGTTCTGCTCGCCTTTTTAAGTGTTCTGGGAAGCGAAGGGACTGGATTAAAATGACTGTTCTACATGACGATATCTCGGAGTTATGACCATTTTGCATGACGAACCTCCGAGAAGCGAATTGCCAAGAGTCCAAGGTGAATAAATAGATATTTCGGTATCTACATAGTACAGAGGAATTACATTGTCTACATACACACAAAGACGAAAAAAAAGATAATTCATCACTCCCTCCCCACCCCCATCTTCCTCAACCTATCCCTCAACCCCTTTCCTTCCTCCCCTCCCTCCCCTTCCCCCTCCTCCGGCTCATCATCATACCCCTCAACCTGCTCAAGCCCATTCTTCATCCTCCCCTCCAACCCCAACTTTTCCTTCACCTCTCCCGCCTTCTGCTTCCCCCCAATACTACTAATCCCAGGCCTCCGCGTACTAGCTTTATAACTCAACGTAACCTCCCCCTCCCCAACTCTCGGCTCGAAATCTTCCTTCTTCACACCTCGGTACTTGAGTGCGTATTCTCTGGTGGCTTCTACTGATTTCTTTAGTTCGGGGTTTGATTGGGAGTAGGTTATGATGTGGAGGCCGGAGGGTGATTTTTTGGACATGTCTGGTTTCGTCGTCGTCGAGTTGATATCGTCAGACGGGAAAAGCGGACCACCACAAAAGTTTCCTTCAAAGAGACCTTTCAAAAGCGGGAGGTGTTTCTCGTTTGGGGCGTATGTACCTATAAAACACGTCATAAACCAATGAACGAATAAGCAAGCAAACTCGCACTCACCACTATTATTATCAAAAACCAACTCCCACTCAACCTCATCATCCTTCATATCATCACTAAACCCAGCCCAACCCAACCCAGAAGCAAGCCTCGGTCTAGGATGAAACTCTCCAGAGTACCTCACACGTTCGCAGCAGTTGGCGTGGAGAGCGTGTTTAGAAGCAAAGTCTACGAAAAAGGGAGCGCCTGTTTCTGAGAAACGGAAGGAATCGTCTTCGGAGGAGATGATGTAGGTGTAGATGGTTGGTTTGATACGGTTGCTGGTTCGGGATTTGGGTGAGTTTTGGCTTTGGCCTTGGGTTTGGGGAGGAGGAGGGTCGATGATGCCAGAGGATTCGCGTTCTGCAGTGGACAGGGCTGATTCTCCCTCGGGGGCGTTGGCATTAGCGTTGGCGTTATTGTTATTCGACGTAGAAAACGCCTTTAGCAACCCCGGCGCCTGCCTCGTATCATTCGGGTTTACATTAACAGAACCACAAAGCAGACGTTTCAAATCCTCTCCTATCCTCTTTGCTTCTTCATTCCTATCATGCGCTGGAGTCGGCGTCGGCGCGTCGCTATTGTTTCCTCCAGCCTTCTTCCCCTCACCCAATACTCCAAACCCGTTCCTCGTACTCCTCGCATAGAGCATCCTATGCCCAGCTTGGATCCCGCTTCTTACGGCAAACGAGCTAGGACCGGTTCCGAAGATGGACTGCGCAGCTTTGTATTGCGTGTTCCAATGTTGATGGATTGGACGGAAATGTTTCGGTTTCGCTAGGTGGTGTTGTTGAGAAGAGGGAGGTGAGTGTGGGTTTGGTAGAGACGAAACAGAAGATGGGGACCCAGGGCGTTGGTTGGGACGTGGAGGGAGAGGCGGGGGCTTTTCCGTGTCGTTTGCGTTTGCGTTGTCGGAGCTGGCTTCTGCGCCCTCGATTTGGGCTTGCTCCTCGTCTCTAACCTCCTCTCTAAACCAAACACCTACTCCGACGAGGTACATCTTCCATGTGCAGTACAGCCTCGCGTCGGGTAGGTTGGTCAACAGCCCCACGGTAGGTGAAAAATGTATCGAGTATCGTATAGGACCGGCAAATAAGAACGAGGGGAGTGTAGAGATGGGCGGCGGGAGAGGAGACGGTTGAGATGTTATCTATCCAACACGTGAACGACAGTTTGTAGAAAGACTTGAAACAAACCTTGAGCCAGAAACTCCCTCTGTCTTTCCTCAACCCGACCACCTTTCCAAGGTCCAGTATCGGCCCTTCAATCTCACATTCCTTCGCTCCGGGATTAACAGAAACTTTGAATTTGCCGATATAGTCGTCTCTGGGCGCACCAATGTCTTTATCAAGTATCTCGACTACTAGATCCGTAGTCGAAGGCACATTCCTAACCCTCCAAATCTCATTCCAGACGGGAGTAAGCGTATGCGGTTGAACAGTCGATACAAAAGATATCCTGGACGAACTCGCATCTTCATTCTGATTCTGATGCTGCGCAGGATCGACATGGGAATGCAAACTGGCTACAAAATAGGGATCTGCCAAACCAAACGCGTCCATCTTTGGTAAACCTGAAGCGCCTATAAACTGGATTTCGAGATCTACGTATTTGACGTCTAGGAGCTTTTCTTCAGCAAACGCTTTGGTTACTTGAGCGAGATCATGGGCGTTGTGTTTGGCGTGGGAGACGGATTCGTGGATTTTGGAGAGAAGAGAGGACATGCTGACGAGACTGTGTGGGCGACGTCGTTTGCTGGACATGGTTGGAGGAAAGAGTAAGCTAAGCACCGCCCAAAAGTGAAAATGAAACGGAACATGACTCACCCGTTCCGGTAAACCCGAAGTTACTAAACGTTTGCAAATACAAGTAATGGGGTTGGTTCGATTATGCCTCGAGGAAGAAAGAAAGACTTGAAGTGTGAATCGAGCGAGGCCAAGGTGACTAGAGGGAAGAAAGAAAGCAACCAACTATCTATAGTTTGATGTGATTGTTGTTGGGAACCATGACGTCAGGGCGGTGCCAAGATGCTAAGAATAGATGCACCGCCAGGAGGCAAAGCGGGATCTTTCCGGTTCCTCTTCTTTGGACCAGGACCGGAGGCTGCCTCTCCGTTGCTTGGCCTCATTCGTGGCGGAGAAGGAAAAGCAGCGCCCGCCTAGCTCAATCGGATAGAGCGTCAGACTTTTATATCCAAACAAAATGCCAGATGATCTGAAGGCTGCGAGTTCGACCCTCGCGGTGGGCTTGATGTGCATGTTGATAATCTTTTTGCTATTAAAAATAATCCATATATAATCCTTTGTATGAAATAAAACGTCTATTAGCGCTCTTACAAGCGTGAGCATTCTGTGGATGTTTTTCTGGGTTTGTATCGCTCGAGGAGATATTTACTTTCAACACTGGTCCGGCCCGGGTTGAAGGAAATGATGTATTGACAGCTAGTAATGTCACCAGTACTGGAGCTCTACAATGAGTATACTCCGAGGACTCTTCTCTCCTTGCAATTCGGATGTCAAACATCTGGAAGAATACCCTCTGTCCTGTGAAATTGAAATGTACCCTCTGAGTTCAATACGTCTCTCATACGACTCGGGTTGGACGAGTTCATTTTGATAGAAAGTGATTGAAGAAATGCTCCAAGAGGACATCTCTCGAGCTTCACAGAAATGGCTGTTGCCATCTACAGGCTGCTACTCGTCTTCGCGCTACTTTATGGAAAAAAGACCAGTGCTCAAAAGTAGCACATACATTTAGAGTAGTAGTAGCTCATCGATACCATTGTCAATCCCGGGCTCTCCCTTTTGCTTCACACCCGTTTCCTCGACACATTGAAAATCAACCATTGAAAAAATGTTGATCCTATGCGCTATCAGACAGGAAGCAGACCGTTTGGTAAACACCTACTTTTTCAAGCTCATCATAAAGGCATCTCTGATAACATTCCAAAGACTTTTCTGTGTTTGCCATCAGAATCAACTCGAGGTCTGAGAGTCTATCAGGGAAGTAGTACCCACAGAATCAATTTTTATCCCCTCCTCCGGCTTACGGACATGTCGTTGGATTAACGATACAGTCTTTTCCCGAGACTCGTCATACTCTGTCTGGTACTTGTACCCACTAGCCATCTTCTTTCCTCTAGTCGCAGTTATACAAGCATGACCCTCAAAATGCATCCCATAACCTTTGAAAACATTCTCATTGATATCCCACCAATCATCCATATCAACCTCGTTCTCCAATCCCGTCACTACAAGAACGATTGGAACCTTTGAACCGCAAAGTGAACGATAAAACGTCACGTAATTACTTGCGGCGCCATCAGTGATTCGAGGAGCACGAAGACAGAATACCAATAGATGGACACCGTCGTTCAGGTTGTAAACGAGGTTTTTGAGCTGGTCATTGACCTGTTGTGATAAACTGGACTGGTCATAACCTTCACTCAATCCAGTCGTGTCGTAAATGTTATAATACTGATCTTCGATTTTGATTTCGTATACTTGATTGTGGAACAGCACCGAAACAGCACTGTTGGATACTGTCCTGGCTAGTTCTGTGCCAGCAAGCATGTTAACAATAGAAGTTTTTCCACAGCCTGAAGCACCGAATAGGATGATATTGGGTATGGTTCGCTGTGGTGAGACGTTATCAAATTCGGATGCACGGTGAGCATCTGTGGTGGATACGGGCGGAATAGGAGGCAATGGTTTCTCGACACCACCGAACAAAGGAGGCGAATTTTGTGGCAGTGAACCAAATGGTTCTTCAGCAGCGAAAGGATTTCCATCAATTAGAGAATCTGTGGAATCAGAATGGCAAGAATAGTGGGGTAATAGATTGAGAGAGTCAGAGGTGAAAACATCCTCGGTGATGTTTTGATGCAGACTGGGAGTTGGCAACGTGTGTAGCGGTATGTTGTCCTGATCTGGTGAAGATATTACTATAAAATCTTCCGATGAGTTGGGTTGTTGTAGCAGCTTTTTTCCCGAAGAGTTTGGATATACGTGTGAAAAAAGCCCATTAAAAACAGGTAAACCAAACTTGGAGTGCTGATTTCCAGTGTCGCGGTCCTGAAAACTTTCAGAGGACTTGTATGCTAAAATTCGAGCAAAGTTAGACGCTGATGCTGTTAGAGGTATATGCAAATCTCCAGCACCATGGAATCCGGGCTCGTTGTCCATGGAAGTCTCTTCAGGTATATCTCCATGCTTGAACCCTTGAAGTTAGGAAAAAAAAAACTAGACAGCGATTTTCAGGGACTGACCTGTTGGCTTGAACCGGAATCTTTCCAATCCCACTCCCACTCCCCCGGCATCCCAGTAGTTGTTTGGGCTTCAGAAGAAGAGAAAGATGAATAAGCTACCATCACTGTACAATCCTTGACGGATAAGTTCTACTTTTGAGTACTTTTACTCTAGCACGGGGAATCCTCATGCTAACTTGAAGGTACCTTCTGTGCCAATGGATCGATATCGATGTCGATCGTAACAAGAGAGTGATATTGCTGAGTATGATCAGCCTATAGAGAACTTTGGAAAGTTCAATCGTGATCTGACGCCTATGAAAACCTGGCTGTAATAACACTGCCTTGTACCTGTGCTAGCTCATCTCAAATTACTCGAGGCCGGGAAGCACTAGGCATACCCCGGATAGCAAAATTAGACAATGCAGCAACCTGATCGACATTTCACACTACAGCACGCTTGTAACTTGAAAAGCTGACTGTACTTCCTTCCCTTACACATCACTCCTCATGTCCAGTTTCACCCGAAACGTTCTTCTCTTTGGCTCTACAGGTTGTGGAAAGAGCTCTATCGTCAACATGCTCTCAGACTCGGAAAAGGCAGTCACTTCAAGTGGGGCCAAGGGCTGCACATTTAAAAATGAAGCCTACGATGTTACCCTAGACGGAGATGTATATACAATTTTTGATACGACGGGCATGGATGAGGGTACAGAAGCAACAGTCAAGTCTGCAGATGCGTTGGCGAGCTTGTACAAACTCATCGATAGACTCAGTGATGGGATTAACCTTTTGGCATTTGTTATGCGAGGTCCCAGAATCACGGAACACGCGGAGAAGAATTATTCAGTGTTTTACGAGGGGATATGCGAGAAGAAGGTTCCCATAGTGATCATCATCACTGGCATGGAGAATGAGGATCCGATGGACGCATGGTGGGAGAAGAATGAGACGCATTTTGTCACGACGGAAATGCTTTTTGATGGCCACGCATGTATCACCGCCACAAGAGGGAAAATGACCAACAAAGGGTACAAGAATGAGTTTGAGTATCAAGAGTCGCAGGATCTCGTTCGAGAGTTGATAAGGGCAAATTGTAGGAACCATGGGTGGAAAATGGTATGGATATGGACTTGATGTGCACATAGTGCTGACGTGCTATTTAAATCACAGGAGAAAAAATGGTGGTATCAACGAGTCTGGGCTTGGCTTTCTGGTCGATTCAGATCCGTATATATTCCTGCCGATTTCCAGAATTTTTACGATACACTTTCACGCTTCATGAGGCCCGAAGATGCCAAGCAGATCATCGACAAGATAAATCATTAATATCCTAGACTTTTATCATGCTGGTGGAGTATCAATGACTAGTTGTGATTGGTATTTACAGTGTTTATTTAGGCTATGCACTCTTCTTTAGAATGTCCCAAAAAGTCTGAATCTATAAAGCCTGAGCCGATTCAAGTGGTACAATGCCATTTAAGTGACATTGTATGCTCACTAAACATGAGTCACATCGAGGTTTCGATCTTACAAATGCAGAAATCACAACTACCCTTATGAATCCTTTCTGGGTACTTGTGAACATTTCGCACACGAAATGGGCTATGGGGACGCATTGATGGCACTCGAGGTTGAAATGATTCATTGCATCATACATATCACCCTTTGGTATTTTTTAGATAAGTGGGGATATCGAGAGAAGGGTCGTTTCTAAGCTCAAAACGCGACCATTTTCGATCATAGAAAGATTGCACAGGATGATATTATCTGTCTAGCAACGGCCGCGAGCCGACGACCCTCTTCCTTTATACTGCTGCCGACCGGGAACCGGGACACGCTACTGAACGGGACAAAATGAGATAGCTCACCCATTCCCTGTCGGTTCCCCAGCCTGTATATCCCATTTTGTAAGCATTATCAAAGGCTACGTGACGATATAATTTTTTGGAGAGTAGTGCTAACCATTGAGAAAAAAAACGTTTTGTCCCGGTTCAATTGCGTGTTCCGGTTCCTGGTCGGCAGCAGTATCTATAGCCCACTTACTTTCAAATTATGACTTCGCCTTGCAGTTTTGTGTTTACCAACCACAAAGGTAAATAAATGAGATGACCTGTCCCCAAGTTGACCTCAAAACTTGAATAATAATCAAATGTCTAATCATTCATGAGATCGTTATGTTGTCCTTGTAACACTATATTATCGCCAGAGTCCGGTCGACTTTCACAAAGATATTCTTGTGCTACGCAACGTCGATTCCAGTATCCAATCACTTCATAAGTCAGCCAAAACATAGATAATTGGCCAGATCCATTCAGGATGTCATAACACAAAGTATCACCTCGGTTATTAAATCCATTTAAACTCTGCCACAAAGCATGATACATCAATGGTGAATGAAGATATAATATAGCAACGTTCCCTCGTTTTAGGATAAATTAACATTTCTCCTTTCATCTTGGACAGGTTGTTGACTCAAATGCATTCAAGTGAAGACTTATTCTGAAATGCCAAGTTAAATTCCGAATGTCTTTCCAAAACATGACTCATCACTATTAGGATTTCATTTCCGATACACATTTAAAGATGTTACTCGGGTATTTAAGAGCTCTTACAGGAAATTACCATCTAAACATGTCTCTCGCTTTTCCACCCTCAGACAGTGCATTTGATGATGCTTTCCTAACTCAAGAATGGGCGATCGTATTGGAAACGAATGGTACAACCATCGCTGTATCAGGCATCCTATTCGGTACGCTCAGCACTTCTTAGGTACCATAAAACTAGTATTGATTTTCTCGTTCCCTAAACCCCTTTCTCACTGACAGGCCTCCAATTCGCAGCCTATGTTGCATCTATGCATGTAATATTGTATGCTATTCTCTTCATTGTGTCGTCCGATAAAAGTAAACATCAACTTATCAAGCCATCGCGGCCTAAAACACTCCACCCCTCGTCTCGCCCTCATCATTGCATCAACCATAATGGTCGCCTCGTCCGGA